GCATGCGAACACAGGCCCAGGGCACGCGCTCTGATTACCAGAGCCGCCACACCACTGCTACCATTAGGTGGGAAGTTTTAAACACCCATCTCATGTTAACAAATCCCCAACCCTGCCCTTTACTATCCCCCCCTTTCGACCGTCCCGGAACCTGTTCCCGCACATGCCCGCGCCCTGGGCGTTAAGTTTTCTGTCGTTTTTGGGGCCTCTGGGGGCCCTCGCCGGGCCCCGGAAACGTCAAAACTTAGAAGATGCAGGGGGCGGAAAAAAGTCCTGGGAAAGGGGCCGGGATTTCCAGGGGACCCGTTGTGCAAAAAATTAAAATATCGCGCGTTTGGGTTGCCGGAGTGGCCTTAGATGCGCGGCTCTCCGGGGCGCCCGGGAGGTCCAAGCCCAAGGCGCAGACCGCCGTTGTGGCACCGCGTGCCTCGATCGGCGAGCCGCGCGCCAAAGCTCATTCCTCTGGTCTCTAGGGTCCTTCTTGTGCGTGGAGGATGCCGCCGGCGGCTCCTCGGAGGAGAGGAGACGTGGCACGCTCCAGCGAGGCCTTCGTTTTGGAGGGCCGACGGATTTGGCATCGCTTCCTCGGCGGAGGAAGGTCGGCGGCAGGTCGGCGGGAGGCGGCGGAAGGAGCGCGAGGCGACCTCCGCCGGCCGAAAACGGCCGACGTGCCCCCGAGAAATGGCAATTTTTTCGGGTTCAGGGTGCAGGGTACCAGTGGGAACCCATGCCGAAAAGCACCCTCCTGGCCTCCACGGTGCCCTGGGTTTCTTGGGTGCCGATGATTTTGCGATGGGAAGCGTGACGCGCTCCCACACCAAAGATCGATGGCCGCCCCAGGGCCGCAGGGTTGGGTTTCTTGTGGACGGTGTCTTCTGGTCGACCTCCTGCTGCATGCAGCCAGAGTGTTGCCACAAGGGGCGCCATGCAGGGAACGAGCGAAGGGCGTTCCCGGGGCCACAGGGTTGGGCTTCTTGTGGAAGGTGTCTTCTGGTCGACCTCCTGCTGCATGCAGCCAGAGTGTTGCCACAAGGGGCGCCATGCAGGGAACGAGCGAAGGGCGTTCCCGGGGCCACAGGGTTGGGCTTCTTGTGCAAGGTGTCTTCTGGTCGACCTCCTGCTGCATGCAGCCAGAGTGTTGCCACAAGGAGCGCCAAGCAAGGACGTGACGTTCCCACACCAAAAATCGATGGCCGCCCTGGGGCCACAGGGTTGGGCTTCTTGTGTTGGGGGAGCGTAAGACCCGGGTTTGCCAGGACTCGGGTTCGCCATCGTTTTTTGACGACCGCGCCTCGGATTTTGACGAGGAGGAGTTCCGTGGGATGTCTGCAGCGGGAGGCCTCGTCAAAATGCAGGCTCGGCCTCGCCATTTTTTTGACGACCTCGTCGGGGATTTCCGAGTCCCCCGTACCCGGGTCTTACGTCTCCCCGATTGTGGAAGGTGTCCTCTGGTCGACCTCCTGCTGCGTGCAGCCAGGGGGTTGCCACAAGGGGCGCCAAAGCAGGGAACGAGCGCAGGGCGTTCCCGCCTGGCCACGGCGGGCCCCTCCTTGCCACGAACAGCGAGGGAATCCCCCGACCCAGCCGGAAGTCGGGAGGGAAAGAAACGCACAGACGCAATGCATCGTCGATTCCCAAGACAAATATGGGAAAAATTGGGGAGTGGGGGGGATAACAAAAACCCAGAACATATGGGAAAACATGGGGGATCCGGTTATTCGTGTCCATTTATTTGTGTGTCCCAGGGCCCCTTGAAGCAGACCAGCGCACCTTCTGAGCCTGAGCGCGAAGTGGTCCGGACTTCGGCGTCTTGATTGTGCTCATTTTGGCACCCTGGTTGGCCAGAGGGTTGGCCAGAGGATTGGCCAGAGGGTTGGCTTGGGTTGACTGGAGGGTTGGCACGGGTAGAGTTTCGGCAGGTAGTTCTTCCTATACGATGTAGTTTTTACGTGTGCCAGCGGCGAGTTCTTGCAGTGTGGGCATGTAGTGTGATTCAACCGCGCTCCATGTGGTGTGAGTTATGTTGTGTAATTAAGCTATATGGTGCAGGCTATGTGGTGTAAGATTTGCGGTGCAAGCTCGGTGGTGCGATCTACCTGGTACGGGCTAGGCTATGTGGCATAAGTGAGGTGGTGTAGGCTATGTGGTGTGACGTACGTGTTGAAAGCTATGCGGTGCAATCAATGTGGTGTGATTCACCTTGTCTAACTTGAAGTTGTCGTTTCCATTGTTCTTGCAATCGTTCTACCCACCTCCCCGCAACTTGGTTTGCAAAACCCATGCGGCGGCGATTGCGATGACTGCTCGGCGCTGGCTGGCGCATCGCTGCGGCCGCGCTAGCGCGCGCAGGCTCGCGCGCAGAGCGGCCAGCTAGTCTGGCGCGATCGATGCGGCCGCGGTGGCGCTGACCGCTGGGAACCTCGGCGCGTCTCGCAGGCAATACTGGCGCACGGGCACTTCACTGTGAGTCGGTGTATGGGGCGGGCGCGGTATCATGGCGACGTCGACAATGGCAACCACGATGATGATAGTGGCGATGGTGGTGACGACGATGACGATGACGACGGCAAGGCCGATGGCGTCGCCGATGCTGATCACGCCGGTGACGATGATGTTGTCCACGCAGCGGTGATGAGAGTTGCGGAAGGATTTCGACATGCGCGTGCGGCCGAAAGGCGCGAACGACCCGCATATTTTTGATGACGAAAACCGCGCCCCCCCTCCAAGCACGCATGCGCGCGATAGGCCCGCTTGGTCGCATGAAACAGAACAACATGTTTGAAGAATTCGCTAAAGCGCGCCGGTTTTCCGACAACCAGGTTGCAACGCATTTTGATTCGTTGACTGTGTGCCCGGGGCATTCGATGTTGAAATCATTAGGGAACCTAAAACAGTTGAAGGATTTCAGCATGCGCGCGCGTCGACGCGCGCGTGTAGATTTATTCAGTTTTTCTGTTTGAGCGAATCTTCACAAAACTGATGGTTTCTGGAAAGCGAACGTGCGCATACGATTATCAGACGAGGATGAGGGGGGACCCCGTTCGGCTGGGATGCCGCTCGTTCCGAGCTCGGAAGGACGATGGGGACGGGTAAGTCCGTCTTCAAGGTGGCGGTGGGCCCTACTTCTCTTTTTACCAAAGGCGCAAAAAACGTCCCGATCCAGGTTTACGAGGCGCTGTGCGCTGAACCTCCTGTGGGCTAACAAGGTAAACCATGCGTGATGTGCGGCGTTTTGGCGGCTCTCTAGATATCAGGCGTTCCCAGGAGGTTTACAGACCACGCGCGCGTAACCCAGGGTAGGGTCGTTTTCTGCACCCCTCATTTTAGAAACAAAATTCTTTACGCTTCGCGTATCCCCACCAGCCCATCTCACAGCAGCAACTCTCGCGAAGCATGCCGACAGTCGTGTTTTTCAGGCGTGTGTCCGCTTGGCCCCGCATATCTCCCCTGTTCCTCCTTCCTCCCGCCTCCTTGTACATCCTCCTTGTGAGGGGAGCGGGAGAAGGACGAGGCGGAGGAGGAGGGAGAGAAAGCGCTCCTCGTGATTTGAGTCGTTTGGGGTTTCTCGTCCTGGTGTGAGTCGTTCGGGCCCTTCTTCCTGGTGTGAGTCGTTCGGGCTCTTCGTGGTGTGAGTCGTTCGGGCTCTTCGTCCTGGTGTGAGTCGTTCGGGCTTCTCGTGGTGTGAGTTGTTCGGGCCCCTCATCCTGGTGTGAGTCGTTCGGGCCCCTCCTCCTGGTGTGACTCGTTCGGGCTCCTCGTGGTGTGAGTCGTTCGGGGCCCGCGTCGTGGTGTGAGTCCTTCGGGCTCCTCGTGGTGTGAGTCGTTCGGGCGCCTCGTCCTGGTGTGAGTCGTTCGGGCCCCTCCTTGTGGTGTGAGTCGTTCGGGCTCTTCGTGGTGTGAGTCGTTCGGGCCCCTCGTCCTGTGTGAGTCGTTCGGGCTCCTCGTGGGGCCTCTTGGGGGCCTCTTGGAGCCTCGTGGGGCTCTTGGGGGCCTCTTGGGGCCTCTTGGGGGCCTCTTGGGGGCCTCTTGGGGCCTCGTGGGGCCTCTTGGGGGCCTCTTGGGGGCCTCTTGGGGGCCTCTTGGGGCCTCGTGGGGCCTCTTGGGGGCCTCTTGGGGGCCTCTTGGGGGCCTCTTGGGGCCGCTTGGGGGCTTCTGGGGGGCCTCTTGGAGGCCTCTTGGGAGCCTCCTGGGGGCCTCTTGGGGCCATCTTGGGGCTTCTTGCGACCTCCGCAGAAGCGCAAAGGAGAGCTGCCCCCTGAGAAGGACAAAATGAGCCCAAAACCTTTGTAAAATCACTGATTTTGCTATAAGGGAAGATGGGCGCGGCCCCCTCTGAAGGCCAAAATGGGGCCACGAGCAGAGGGGCCAAACTCGGTCCCCCCCTCGGGGCCAGAATCCTCGTGAGGGTCGTCGTTTTTTGGCCCTCCGAGGAGTCGAAATGGACCCCCCCGCCACCACCCGGGAATCCCTGTCCAGGTCCAGGGGGAGGGGGTAGGGGGAGGGGTAAACCCTTCCCCGAAGGGGAAGAAGGGGGGTTGAGGACAGAGCGGGCTCTCTAAACCACTCACGCCCAAAGGGCTGGTGGGACTTATGAGGCGCAATCTACATGGTGCAAGGTATGCTGGATACACAACGTGGCGTGAGCCCTGTGGCGTCCACGAGGCACCCACGGCCGCCCACCAGGCGAGACATCGCCCTGCGCACGTGGCGCCCACGAGGTGGCCACGGCCGCCCACCGTGCGAAACCTCACCGCACCCAGCCAGCGCACGGGGCGCCCACCAGGTGGCCACGGCCGCCTGTCAGGCGAAATTTCGACACACCCGCCCGCTTCAAGTTTAAGCGCGCTCAGTTTCGGGAGTAGTCTCTCGGAGGCTCGCGCGGATTTTGTCGGTCGGCGCGTGGCGGCGCCTCCAACGCCGTTCCTGGTGCACCCCGCGCGCGAGGGACGGGGGTTCCAGCGCCGACTCGAGAAATCCGCTCGGGCTTCGACATTTCTGCTAGGCTCCGGCGGCCCAGCGCCACCTTTGAGCGAGGAGGAGAGGAGGCGGCTTGCGTTGGTCGACATCGAGAACAGCCGGTGCCCCGTGAAGCAGGCGTTCAGAGGAGGAAACAGTACCCATACTGCTACGTTTCTCTTGTTATTTGCCCTCTTTTGGGCCTCCTAAGCCCTCGTGCCACCGCTGGATTCGCTTTGTAAATTCTGGTCAGAATGCACCCCAGAGCAGGTTTGGGGAGTGTCGGTATCTGTATTACTTTGGCTCCCCAGGAGTACCTGATCAGGGACCTGGGCCCCAGGGTGTTGGTTGAGGCGGTTTCCGGCAGGTCGGGCCAGGACGGCGACGTGGCCATGGCGCCGAAGCTGAGCAAGCGCCAGCAGAAGAAGCAGAGGCAGCAGATGCAGAAGGATCGGCGGCGAGCTCGGGGGGAAGGCCAGGAGGGGGCGGGCCTTTCTCAGAAGGCTCGGAGGGCCTCTGGCCTTCTGAGAAGTTTTCTGAGCATTCGAGTCGGGGATCGAAGTTTCTCCAGAGTTGAGTTCCCCGTCGGGCCCACGAGGACAACGTAGAAAATGCTCCGTAGACCTGCGGAACATCATGCGTAGTCTTCGTAGCCTCGACGGGATAACACAAGTCTTGACGCCTGGCGTATCTCCACAAGCTAGCCAATTCGCCTAGTTCGCGTCCCGGACTTTGCTTTCGCCGCCTGACCTTCGTCTCGCGGCCGCGACCAAAAAAGTATCTCCACAAGCCTAATTAGGCCGTTTCCGTGTCCCGGAACGCTTCTGATTCCGCGTGCGCTCTCGCTGGCGGACGCGACCGAAAAAGTATCTCCACCAGCAGGGTTTCCGCTGGCGCCCTCGCCTGCGGTCGCGACACAAAAGTCTCCACCAGCCCATCCAGACACGATCGCAAGGTGAGCTGCCGTGATGAGGGCAGCGTAGAAGCATACCGTGCGACAGCCGCCTTGGATGCCTCTCGGGGGTGCGAGGAGGGCGGGAACAGTTGTTGTAAGAGTCGTCGAAAGGTAGTTTGAACAGGTCGCCTTGGCGCCGTTTTGGCTCCATGGGGGATTTCTTGGCATCCTCTCCGACAATGTTGACCTGCCACGGTTATGCCATCGGGGAGGGGTTCCTGTACCACCATGTTGCCACTGCTTGTCCGAACGGGTTTCGACAAACATCAGATCATATTGCCTCGAATGAGAGGGGGAGGAGGAGGAGGAGGAGGAGGAGGAGGAGGAGGAGGACGAGAGGAGGAGGAGGAGGGAGGAGGAGGAGAGGAGGAGGAGGAGGATGAGGAGGAGGACGAGGAGGAGGAGGAGGAGGAGGAGGAGGAGGAGGAGGAGGAGGGAGGAGGAGGAGGAGGAGGAGGAGGAGGAGGAGGAGGAGGAGGAGGAGGAGGAGGAGGTGGAGGAGGAGGAGGAGGAAGGAGGAGGAAGGGGAGGGGGAGGAGGAGGTTGCATGCGGCACTGGATGTGCCACTCGTTGCCACTGCAGTCGCGAACGGGTTTAGAAGAACATAGATCATATTGCCCTGAATGAGCGAGGTGGAAGTGGAGGAGGAGGAGGAGGAGGAGGAGGAGGAGCAGGAGCAGGAGCAGGAGCAGGAGCAGGAGCAGGAGCAGGAGCAGGAGCAGGAGCAGGAGGAGGAGGAGGAGGAGGAGGAGGAGAGGAGGAGGAGAGGAGGAGGAGGAGGAGGAGGAGAGGTCTTGGTGGTCCCTGGGGCTTCTTGGAGCGTCTGTGATGCTTCGGAGGAGCCTCTTGGAGCCTCTGTGGCCTCTCGTTGGGGCCTCTTGAGGGCCTCTCCGGTGGTGCTTGGCGCCTCACTGGTGGTGCCGGGCGCCCCTTTGGGCCCTCTTGGGGCCATCTTGGAGGAGATCGACAAAACAGGGAGGAGGAGGAGGAGGAGGAGGAGGAGGAGGAGGAGGAGGAGGAGGAGGAGGAGGAGGAGGAGGAGGAGGAGGAGGAGGAGGAGGAGGAGGAGGAGGAGGAGGAGGAGGAGGAGGGGGGGGGAGAATCAACTTAGGCCCCCCCATCGGAAGCTCCCAGATGGCCTCTTTGGGGCCCCTTGGGCCGCTCTTGGGCGCCGTCTTGGGCACTCTTGGGGCCGTCTTGGGTCCGTCTTGGGCCCCTCGGGGGCCTCTCTAGGTCCATGTAGCTCATCGGAAGCGAAATATCGAGAAGCCACAGAGTCTTGATCTTCCTCTGGCGGGTGAAGGATTTTGGCTTCTTGGGAGGTGCCCTGGGAGGCGGGAGTGGCGCTCGGAATCCTTTTCTGGGGCTGCCTTGGAGCGTCTTGGAGGCCTGTCGGGGGCTATCTCGAGCGATGCTGAGGTCTCTTGAGCCACCTTGGATGCCCTCGGGGGCTGTCCCGGGCCCTCTTGGAGGCATCTGCGGCCATCCTGCTTGGCAGCTCCGCTCTCCCCCCTTCCCAGGCCCAGGGGAGAGCGCAGGGGGGAGGTGTCGAGGCCCCCCCTTCGCCCGCAGGCCGTCTCGCTCACTCCCACCCGCCCTCCCAACACAGAAGTAATACCCGAGGGAGTTTCAGCATGTGGCTTGGAAGCGCCACGCAGGCCACGTGCGCCACGGGTTCCGGGTGCACCAGGGGCGCACCAGGTGCGGCGCGTGCTCTATGGTTAAGCAGTGTGCCGGCACCCCCGCCGTCCCCGGTCAGAAACCACTGCAAAGTGGTCGCGGGCGCCCGCGCATGCTCCAGATGTGGAGGCAACGTGCGTTCTAGATTTTTTCTTGACAGGGATGGTTGGCCTGCGCGCGGCGAGCAATATGACGGCACCCCCACCGTCTTTATCAAAAACCAATGCAAAGTGGTCGCGGGCGCCCGCGCACCCTCCAGAGTTGGAGGCAAAGTGCGTTCTGTATTGTTTTGTGACAGGGATGGTTGGCTTGCGCGGGCACCCTCGCCGTCCTTGTCAAACAACGAATGCAATGTGGTCGCGGGGCGTCCGCGCATGCTCCAGATGTAGAGGCAAAGTGCATTCTGTTTTTCTCGACAGGGATGGCTGGCCTGCGCGCAGCGAGCAATATGACAGCCCCCCCGACGCGTCCTTGTCAAACATCGAATGCAAAGTGGTCGCGGGGTGCCCGCGCATGCTCTAGAGTTGGAGGCAGAGCGCATCCTGTCGGGTGGTGGTGGGGGGGTCGTATATGAATGAGGGGCAGCGATGAACCTCTCCCCCGAGCAGGTGCAGGAGGGGCTGTGGCTGGGAGCCCCGCCAGACCACTCGGCCCAGAGGGCTGATGGAACTTTGAGGGCATAGATCCATTCTGCAGCCGATCCCCTGCTCGAAGCAGCCTCCTGCCCACTCGCTGACAGGCCGGGAGACCCTCTGAGAAGCCCCGGCCCGGCGCCGTCCGAGCAGGCCTGCTCTCCCCTCTCTCGGGAGGGAGAGAAACACACAGACACAATGAATCGTCGACCCCCAGGAAAATATAGGAAAGTATGGGAAGTGGGGGGGGAAAGACGAAAACCCAGAAAATATGGGAGAAGATTGGGAATCCTATTTTTCTGTGTCCATTCGTTTGTGTGTGTGTCCCTGGGCCACTTCACCCTCTCTCTTTTGCGCTCGACCCCCCCCCTTCCGGCCGCGCCGCGGAGGAGCAGAGGGAGAAGCGGGACGCGGAGGGGGGGAAGCAGAAGCCCACGGGGCTGGTGGACGAGACGAACTTCCCCCACAACGGCCTGCTGTTTCGGCTGCGCCGCTCCGAGTACCAGTTCCCGCGCTCGGACGCCGTGCTGAGGCCGAGGGACAGCAACCCACAGCGGCGTCAGCAGAAGACGGGGGCGACGTCAGCACCCTCCCCCGTGCCGGTCAGCGGTTTTCAGGCAGCTCGATGGGTGGCGGGGTTGGGGTTCGGCATTCGTCGAACGCGTGGCGAACTCCGATCCCTCCCCCCGCCTCCCATCGATTCAGGAGAATCGATGGTTGGTGGGGTAGGGTGCGGATGTCGCCACCGAATGAACGTTCGAAAGTCCGCGCGGATTTCTCCGATCTGCGCTGGGCTACCCCTGTCGGCGCCTCCAGCGCTGCCACTGCAGGAAATCCGCGCGGACCCTTGAGAGTTGTTATTCGTGCAGCTTTTTTCTTCGGGGGCAGTTTCTCTTCCGACCCCGGCAACATTTTCCAGGAGGGAAGAAACACAGACACAATGAATCGTCGATCCCCAGGAAAGTATGGGAAACTATGGGAAGTGGGGGGAAGACAAAAACCTTGAAAATACTGGAAAATATGGTGAATCCTGTTATTTGTGTGTATATGTATTTGTGTGTCCCAGGGCCCCTTCAATGTTATTTGCATGGAGGGGGAGGGGAGGGGGCGTGGCGAGCCCCGAGAAGGAGCTTTGGACTTCCCGCACGCTTGGACTCAGGGACGCCTTCCTGGCCCAGCGCTGTCGGTTGGTCGCGTGGTCGGGCGAAATGCCAAGCGGCGAGTAAATTTGCCAGGGCCCAGCGACAAACGCGCTCTCATTGCAAGAAGAACCACGGCATCAGCATAGATTGCCGGAGCTCCATAGCACATGTGAGTGCAGTTGCTTGCTGCTCTACGGCAGGCGTGCGTCGTGTGGAAAGGCGGCGACCCCAGCGCGGGCGTTTCAGGTTCAACGCCGCCCGTGGCTCAGAATTTGTTGCCTCGTTTTATGATGTGCCAACCTACTTTCGCCTTGACCACCAGAAAGAATTTGGAGCACCAGAACGGTCTCCAAAGACTCGAGGGTCTTCACGTGTCGGGCCCTGGGAGACGCTCGTCCGACACTGTTTCGAGACTGCTTCGCATTTTTCGACACTATTCTGGGTGCTCGACATTATCTCTGGGATGTGGTCCTGAAGTACGTTCGGGGGTGGACAGAACCCCCAACAGTGACGCGTGGATTAGTGAATTGTCCGTGTTCGGTTCTCGAGATGGCGCCGTGGCCGTTCTTTTCCAGGCCTGCGCCCGCCAGGTTTGTGCCTCAGGTCGCTTTCACGAAACCACGTTTTGCTAAAGGGGGGTCTGTCCATCCCCGGTACGATGGGAGCAACATACAATCAAAATCCCTAATAAGGACGCGCGACTTTGCTCATGGTGCCCTTGCGTTCTTGCTCTTCCTTGCTCTTGCGGCTCGTCCTTGGCCTCTTCCGCTTGCCCCAAAAATCCCAACTTCGGTTTCCAAGGCTCTTGCGTCCAGACCGCGCGTCCTTGTTAGGGTGTTTGACTGTAACCCTCGCTGCACGATCCAGCGTGCCCGAGACGGCCGATCACTCAAAGGTGGACGATCCCCGCGGCGTCGGGCACCAGCGCCCGGGGTCGACGCGGCGCGAGCCTGCTGCATCCCAAAGGAGGAGGAGGAGGAGGAGGAGGAGGACGAGGAGGAGGAGGGGGAGGAGGAGGAGGAGGGGGAGGAGGGGGAGAGCAGGAGGGAGAGGAGGAGGAGGAGGAGGAGGAGGAGGAGGAGGAGGAGGAGGAGGAGGAGGAGGAGGAGGGAGGAGGAGGAGGGAGGAGGAGGAGGAGATGAGGAGGAGGAGGAGGAGGAGGAGGAGGAGGAGGAGGAGGAGGAGGAGGAGGAGGAGGAGGAGGAGGAGAGGAGGAGGAGGAGAGAGAGGAGGAGGGGGAGGAGGAGGAGGAGGAGGAGGAGGAGGAGGAGGAGGAGGAGGAGGAGGAGGAGGAGGAGGAGGAGGAGGCGGAGGGAGAGGAGGAGGAGGAGGGGGAGGAGGCGACGGGGGTCTCTTCCATTCGAGGGAGATGGGCATCTCCAAGTCGCACGCCACGCGGCAGCCGGCCGCCAAGCCGGAGGCGGAGCCCGCGGAGGAGGAGGAGGACGAGCCCGAGGAGCCCGGCGGCGCCGAGGGCGACGCCGGCGCGGGGGGCGAGCCGGCCGCCAAGAGGCCCAAGGCCGGGGCCCGCTTTCGACGCGAGCGATTCGAGCCGGTTCGAGGCGACGAGGGCGAGGCGACGACGACGACGACGACGACGACGAGGACGGGATGGCTACGACCACAGCGGCGGCGGCGAGGCGAAGGTGACGACGACGAGCACGGGACGAGCCACCTGCCAAGAGGCCTCAGGTCGGGGTCGTCAACAAAACCACTCGGGGCGAAGCACCGGGTCCCGAGGAAGTGGTCGAGAGGTCGGTGTCCATGTCGACCCATCTCGAAGAAAGAAGATTGCATAAACATACGCTTGTGGAGCTTGGCGAGAATTTTGTTGGGTCGGCGCTGGACCCCCCTCACTGGCGCGCGGAGCGCGCCAGGGGCGGCGTCGGAGTCGCCACCAGGGTGGGCCCAGCGCCGATCCAAGAAGTCCGCGCGGAGCGCCGTAAGTTTATGTTTATGCCGTCTTTTGTATTTCTATCAGAGGAGGAAGCAGTACCAGTACCTATATTCTAGACGCTTCGCGTATCCCCACCAGTTCCGCCCGCGACCTCCCGCCGCTGGCGCTTCCGCCTGCGGCGGTAAAAAAAAAGTATCCCCACCAGCCCGTCCAGAAACGACGCCCAGGCGAGTAGAGGGTCGTCCTGAGGGGCTTTTCGGCGTCTTGGGTGCCTCGGGGGGGCCTCTGTGGGCCGTTCGGGATCCTCTTTGGGGCCTCCTGGGGGCCTCTTGGGGCCTCTTGGGGCCATCTTGGGGCCTTTGGGGGCCTCCTGGGCGCTTCTTGGGGCCTCCTGGGCGCTTCTTGGGTGCCTCTGGGGGGTCTCTTGGGGCCTCTTGGGGGTCTCTTGGGGGCCTCCTGGGGGCCTCTTGGGGGGCCTCGGAGCCATCTTGGAGGAGATCGATCAACGAAGGGGGGTTCCCTAATTACAGCCCCCCCCTCAGGAGCCACGATCCTCGTGAGGGGTGTCGAATTTTAGCCCTCCCAGGGGTCGATCTTGGGCGCTCCAACGCGCCGCGGAACCCCCTGTCCAGGTCAGTGGGGAGGGGGTAGGGGGAGGGGTAAACCCCTCCCCGAAGGGGAAGAAGGAGGGGTGGAAGAGGAAACGCTCTAAACCACCGACGCCCAGAGGGCTGGTGGGATTATTGTTTCGTCACCGCGGCTGGATTCGCTTGAGGACAGGTCCGTGGAGTAGCAGTACGAGTATGTTTGCAATTTCGGCCAGTTCGTTCCGATCCGATCTCGATATTCCGACGATCCAGTGCCACCTGGTGCTCGATTAGCGCTGTTGTGCATGCTGGCGCAGCCGCTCCGATTGGATCTCGACTCCGTGTCGATGCAGCCCGATCCGATGCAGATTCCGTTCGACCCGATTTCCCGAGTTGATAATGACTAACCTGAAGGTAGAGGAGGAGCCGTCTCGGGTGGGCCCGGCCATCAAGAAGGAGCGTAAGCCAGTGGATTTCAAGGGCAAGACCGTGCTCGCGCCCTTGACCACCGTCGGCAACCTGCCGTTCCGCCGCCTGTGCAAGAAGCTCGGAGCCGACATCACGGTCTTCGAGATCCTCCTTCTCCTGCCTTCATTTTCTCCCCTAATTCTCATTCTCTCCCTCTCCCGCCTTCTACCCGCTTGGATTACCGCGGGGTGTGCTGAGGGCACTGAGGGGTGGGCATTCGTAGGTGGATGCTGAGGTGGATTATTTCTTGCCTGACCTAGCTTCCAAGCGAATTACAATTACCCTGAGTGGCCTGCGAGGGCATAGCTCCGCCAAGTAGGCAGAGACCATTTGGCCCAGATCGTAGCCCCGCCTGAGCACCTCATCGCTCCTGTGACCAACTTATCGGCCAGGTCAGGCCAGCTACAACACATCCTAGCATCCCCTTACGCTCGAGCGTCTTACTTGCGACTCATGGCATTCTCCCCCCGTCGCCCTCTCAGCCGCCTTTTCAAACAGCGCTGGCGGCCGGAAAAGGCGTACACGTGAGTTCAGATTTGTGTGAAGTCAAGTGTTCTTTTCGGGGCTCGCCACGCTTCCCCCCCCACACCATCCCCACCCTGCAAGCAAACTGTTGCCGGAGTCTAAAGAAAACCTGCCTCTAATCTTCCCTGCCTCTTCAGCAGGCCCTGTGGTGGCTCAAGTACTCGCCCCCTCTCTTGGTAAGGCTTCGGTTGGCGTGCAGGCAGCCCACCCAGGTAGTCACGGGTGGCCTCGACAGGCCCCCCGAGTAGTCCAAGCTGGCCTCAACAGGCTCCTCGAGTAGTCCAGGGCCGTCTCAGCATCTCAACCCTGGGGCGCGGAACGCTCCAGGGGCGCCGCCAGAGGCAGTGCCAGGGTGTTGAGGCCATCCTGGACTACTCGGGGGGCCTGTTGAGGCCAGCGGGGACTACTCGGGGGACCTGTTAATTAAGGCCAGCCAGGACTAGCTTGGGGAAGCTGTTTGTGCGTAGCCCGAAGCTTACCATGCGCGGTGGGAGGGATGCCGAGGAGGAGGAGGAGAAGGAGGAGGAGGAGGAGGAGAAGGAAACCGCTCCAGAGTACTCGGGGGGCCTGTTGAGGCCAGCGGGGGCCACTCGGGGGGCTTGTTGAGGCCGGCTGGGGGGACTGTCTGTGCGCAGCCCGAAGCCTTTCTAATCCTCTCTCTCTCTCTCTCTCTCTCTCTCTCCGTCGCCCTCCTCCTTGTTGTTCTCCTCCCCTATACCCCTGACCTCCTCCTCGTCCTCCTCCTCCCCTCCTTCTCATCCTCCTCCTTTTTTCCTCTTACTCTTATTATTACTCCTACTCCTACTATTTCCCCTCCTACACCTCCTTCCTCCTCCTCCTCCTCCTCCTCCTCCTCCTCCTCCTCCTCCTCCTCCTCCTCCTCCCCTGCTCCTCCCCGGGTCTCCGAAATGGCGATGGCTACGAAGCTGCTGCAGGGCTCGTCCTCGGAGTGGGCGCTCGTGCGCCGCCACAAGGACGAGGACGTCTTCGGCGTGCAGCTGGCTGGGGGCTTCGCCGACTCCCTGGCGACCTGCGCGGAGTGCGTCGCGAACGAGATGGAGGCCCTCCTCCTCTCATGTTAGTCTTCCTCCTGCTCATCCTTCCCCCTCTCCTCCTCGTCCTCTTCCTCCTCCTCCTCTCCCTCCTCCTCCTCCACCTCCTCCTCCTCTTCCTCCTTCTCCTCCTCATCCTCACCCTCCTCCTCACCCTAACCCTCCTCCGATCCTTTTCCTTACTATTGATAACTCCTCCCTGTCGCGCCCCGAGGCTGGTCAAAAGGGCGGACCGATCGTTTCGCTTGAAGCTTCAACGCAGATTGAGGGCGGGTGGTTTTCAACATGTGGCTCTCGCTTCAGCGCGGGGCAGGTTGGTTCAACAAATTGCAAGAAGAGTTTCACGGATTGAGGGCTGATCGTTTTCAACATGTGGTTCTCGCCTTCGCGCCGTGCACATTCTTTTTAAACCTTTGAAGGAGTTTCACGGGTTGAGGGCGGGTCGGTTTCAGAGTGTGGTTATCGCTTTAGCGCCGCACACACAGTCGTTTTTTCCTTAAGCAGTTGCAAGAGTCTCCTGGATTGAGGGCGGGCCGTTTCAACATCGGGCTCTCGTTTTAGCGTCGCGCGCATTCGCTTTAAACATTGGCAAGAGTTTCACGGATTGAAGGTGTGTCAGTTCCAGAATGTGGTTATCGCCTTAGCGCCGCGCGGACTTGTTTTTATGTAAACGGTTGCAGGGGTCTCACAGATTGAGGGTGGGCCGTTTTCAACGTGTGGCTCGCCTTAGCGCTGCGCACATTCGTATTACATCTTTGCAAGAGTGTCACGGATTCTCATGCTTAGCGTGCCAGAAATTTTGTTCTGGAAGGATTGAGGATTGTGAGGGCGCAACAGTTAGGTCGATCCGCCGCGTTGAAGGCGCAGGAACGGTGTTCTGGCACGACTCTGCATTGTCAAGGCGTAACAGTCGGAGTCCCGAGAATCTTGTTTTGGCACGCTTCCGGGTCTTCAAACGGTTGTCTCCCGACGGTGCAGTTCCTTCAGTGGAGATGAGTTTTGCAGGGGCCTATGAATCGGGAGTTTGGAGGGGGGATGTTGTCCATCCTCGCTGATCAGCCTTGGGTTTAAACTGGTCCTCATCCTCCTCCTCCTTCTCCTCCTCTTCCTCCCTTCTCCTCCTCCTCCTCCTCCTCCTCCTCTTCCTCCTCCTCCTCTCCTTTTACGGTCGGACCGATGTACAATATCGAGATTCGTTCGGGGAGGGTACCCTCATATGTTTCGTGCTTGTTGATGTTATTGTTCATCTTGGGGGAGGGTACCCTCGAGTGATCTTATGGGTCTCATTGTCTTGAAGGATGTTCTTCTGTCCCAGTTTTGGCCGTACTCCTCCTCCTCCTCCTCCTGCTCATCCTTCTCCCGCTCTTCCTCCTCCTCCTCCTCACCCTCACCCTCACCCTCACCCTCTTCTTCTTCATCCTTCCTCCTCATCCTCCTCTTCCTGAGCATATCTCCCACCGCGGATGGTAATGCTTCGGTCTGCGCGCAGACAGCCCCCCCAAGGTTGTCCTGGCTGGCCTCAACGGGCTCCCCAACTCGTCTCCGCTGGCTTCCACGGGCCCCCCGAGTACTGTCCAAGATGGTCTCGACACCCTGGTGCTGCCTCCGGCGGCGCCCCTGGAGCGCTCCGCGCCCCAGGGTTGGGGTGCTGCGACGGCCCCGAACTGCTCGCAGAGCCTGTCCTCTCGAGGCGAGCCTGGTACTTGTTGGGCCTTCCTCTTGAGGCCGGCCGGGACTTCCTCTGGGGGGCCGTGTCTGCGCTCGGCCCCGAAGCCTTGCCCCGATGGAGGTGGACTTCATCGACATCAACTGCGGCTGCCCCATAGACCTGGTGGTCAACAAGGGAGCCGGCTCGGGCCTCATGCGCAAGCTCAACCGCCTCGAGGAGATCGCGAAGTCCGTGGCGCGATCGGCGGCGCCAGTGCCGCTGACGCTGAAGCTCCGGATGGGCTACGAGGACAACAACCCGGTGGCCCACACCGTGGTGCCCAAGCTGGCCGATTGGGGCGTGAGCGCCGTCACGCTCCACGGCCGCAGCCGGGAGCAGAGGTACAGCAGGGACGCCAACTGGGAGTACATCTGGGACTGCGCGAAGAGCAGCTCGGTGCCCCTCATCGGCAACGGGGACGTGTACGACTTCGAGGACCAGGTGCGCGCGCTGACAGGCCAGTCTGGAGCCGCGTCCTCCGTCATGGTGGCCAGGGGGGCGCTGTACAAGCCGTGGGTCTTCAAGGAGATCAAGGACGGCAAGCGCTGGGACATCTCGAGCGGCGAGCGCCTCGACCTGCTCAAGGACTACGCGCGCTTCGGCATGGAGCACTGGGGCGCCGACCCCAGGGGCGTGGAGACCACGAGGAAGTTCATGCTGGAGTGGCTGTCCTACACCTGCAGGTACATACCCGTCGGGCTCCTCGAGATCGCCCCCCAGAGGCTACAGTGGCGAAATCCAACTTACCGCGGCAGGGACGACCTGGAGACCCTCATGGCGAGCGAGAATCCGGTGGACTGGGTGCGCCTGTCCGAGATGGTGCTGGGACCGGCGCCGGCCGGCTTCAGCTTCCAGCCCAAGCACAAGAGCTCGGCGCACGCCAAGAACGAGCACGAGGTGCAGGGCTGAGGCGGCGGCCGCTCGGTGCTGCGGCCGGCAGCCGCGGGACACTGGCCGTCCACCACCCACGGACGATCACCCGGCCGGGCCAGCCGTTCAGGGGCAATGTTCGGTGGGACAGGCTCGGGGGGGGGGGGAGGCCTCCACCCCCGATCGCCCATGGATCGCCAACATGGGGCTTGACGTCGCACCCTGGCCCTGTATCGCGCGGATCGGTCTACACATCTTCCGCGCTCCGTGCCCTCCCGTGGCTCCGTCGCCCCGCCCCCCATGCTCCGCACCGTGCTGTGCGTCTGCCTCTATTCACACTTGGCTGATTCTGCTTCGCTTCGATGTGTGTGTGTGTGTGTGTGTGTGTGTCTTCTCCTGTGACCTCTCCCAGGATGGCAGCTGGGCTCGAGCGCGTGACAATCACAAAAGACCACTGAACGACGCAGCAACCCGACGGCAGACACCCCACACGCCGTCAGCCGCGTCAAAGCACGTGCCGACCAGCGACGAGCACTCCGACCAGGACAGGACAGGACCCCTCTCTCCTCCCCCCACCCCTCCATCCTCGCATTCTTTTTTGATGTCTTGCGCAGCACGGTACATCTCATATCCCAGAGACTACTGCCTCCTCCGTCTGGCCTTAGCTCGGCCCGGACGCCTCTCCGCACTGGCGATGGTGGTTCTCATCGTCGCAGGAGTAACACGTGAGCGTGTGTGTGTGTGTGTGTGTGCGTGTGTGTGTATGTGTGTTTGAGTGTGTGCGTGTGTGAAGTTGTGTGTTTGTGTGTCTGTGTGCTGTGTGTCTGTCCCAGGCGTGCGTGAGCGCGCGTCCCTTCCCTCCCCATCCCCCCCCTCCCCTCGCCCTTCGTGTGAGTGTCGATGTCGTCGTCGTCCCTTGCCGCCCCCCCCCCCCTTCGCCCCGTTGCGTTGCGTGCCGCGGGGGGGGGGGCCTCTGTTTTTGATGTCCGAGCAGGGCCCGGTTCGAGCTTCCTGCAGCTTGGCCTCCCCCAACGGTCTCCCGGGGGACGTTACGGGCAGGCCCCTGCTCAGCGCAAGGGGGCCCGCACACTCATCTTTCGCAGAGGCCCAGCTGTCTTGCCCACAGCAGGGACCCGCCGCCGAGGCGCTTACCGTATGCTTCTCCTCTCCCCCGTGAGCCCCCTCCCTGCCAGTTTGTTTCTCCGTCCGTCGTTGCCTTTCTCCTTGGCATCGCTCGAACGTGTGCATATTTCCTTCGGCGAGGACCATCGAGGAGCATCCTTGATGATTTGGCGAAAAAACCACGCACGAAACCGAAACAAGCACAGGGAATGGACGTCCGAGCGATGGCCAGTCTCTTGGCCAGGAGGGCTCCGCAGTCGGCTCCGTCCGGCTCTCGCTGGGGTGTTTTGTTTGTCTGCGTGGGCACTCCGAAGAGGGCACTGCCCTCGAGGACAGGAGGAGCTGTCATCTCTCCCGCCGCGGCAGGCGGCGGAAGGTCGGCGGAAGTAAAACGAGGCCGCCTCCGCTGGCGGAAGCCGGCGGAAGGTCTGCGAAAGGCGGCGGAAGTAACGCGTCGCCCTCCAAGAGATGAGCACGTTTTTGGGTTCAGGCTATCCGAAATCCACCGCGTGCGTCTGGCGCGTGCCCACAAACATCGACGAGCAGTCTTAGCAGTGTCCCGGCTGCACTTGTTGCTGTCTGTGACCCTTTGTCGCGTCTGAGGAGCAGCTCGGCGGCTCGCCGAAGGGGGGTAAGTGAGAGGTGGCAGACGTTCTCACAAGGCGATGGTAATGATGATGACGATGATGATGATGATGCTGATGATGATGATGCTGCTGATGATGATGATGATGATGATGATGATGCTGATGATGATGATGATCCTGATGATCATGATGATCATGATGATCATGATGATCATGATGATCATGATGATCAGGATGATCATGATGATCATGATGATCATGATGATCATGATGATCATGAGCATTATCATCAGAAGCCTTTCGGCCTTCTGGGCAGGCATTTGTGGCCACGGAGGCGTGGAGGCTTCTCAGACGGCCAGAGGCCTTCTGAGCCTTCTGGGATCGGGGGTCGACGTCGGATCCATGCCCATGCCGGTGCTTCCCCTTCTGGGTGCCACAAGTCAAGCAGTGGCGAAGCGTCCTGGCTCGTCAATAGGCCCGCCAGAGAATGCTCTAAGAACGCTTTGTGGTCTGCACGGCATGTTCGTAGAACATTTCTGATTGAGTCTGTCTTGTTCTAACACATCGGGCTTGTGTTCTCAGAACATTGCTTTTTTCTGCTTAGAACATTTTTGGGTTCTAAGAACAGCTCGTGGCAGGCCTGAAGAGATGCCGGGGCGGTCGGTCCCTGCTCAAAGGAGGAGAAGGGCACGGCCGAGAAGATCGGCGCCCGGGGCAGGATGTTATGTCCGCGTCCCCACTCTGGCCCCCATGACGGGACTGGGGCGCGGGCAGGGGCATGGTTGCTGTCCGTGGGCGAAAGACTCAAGCAGTGGCGAAGCGTTCTGGCTCGCCCATAGTCCTACCAAACAATGTTCTAAGAACCTTTTGTGGTATCCACGAAATGTTCTTAGAACATTTCTGGCGGAGTCTGTCTTGTTTTAACACATCGGGCTTATGTTCTAAGAACATTGTTTTTTCTTGGAACTGTTTGGGTTCTACGATCATTTCGTGGAAGGACTATAGGAATGCCTGGACGGTCGGTCCCTGCTCAAAAGACATGTCCGTATCCGCATTCTTGCGGGCTGGATTCTTGGGCCGCGACCCCGCGGACACGGGGCGCTTCCGCGCGGAGGCCCCACGGGGGCCGCATCGGTGACCGCGTACCCGCGAGATCGCGCCCCAGAATCCAGACCGCGAGGGTGCGGCTACGGATATGTTTGCCGCTCCTGCTCCGTCTTCCCCCCCCTTTGGTGCGGCGCCCAAGACGCGGGGAGACAGCAAGCGACCACAGCCACATCGAGGCCGCACCCAAGGGGTTGCTTTGCGCATGCCACCATCTAGGCCTCCTAGATGGGGTCGGAGTAGATGGGGTCGGAGGATCGCGCCGCATCGCCAATGCATCGCCGATGCGGCTCGATGCGGAGCGCGGTTTTCCCTACACCGCCGCCGCCGATGCATCGCCGACGTCGCCGATGCATCGCCGATGCATTGCCGATACATCGGCGATGCATTGGCGATGCGGCGCGATCTTTCGACCCCATCTACAGTGCGGGAGCGGTCGCAAGAAACCCTCGCAAGAAACCCAACCCTGAGAACCCGTGCGCGAGGTACACCTGAGGGGAAGCCCAGAGCACCCCGAACGCAGCAGCCCTTTCAACGGCTGCGGGAAGTCACCGCGCAGCGCGCGGAGCGAAGAAACCCATGATACCCTGACGAACAGCATTTGGTTTCTTGATGCGCGCTCCCACTGTACTCGGACCCCATCTAGGAGGCCTCTACCAATCGTCCGCGCACCGGGACCAGCTTGCTGCTGGTTGTGTGGTCGATGCTGGCGTCCCAGGCGGCCACATCGACCACAGCCACAGCCAGTGAGGCCGTGCAGAGGCCGGTGGGCTCTCGGGGGGCCCTCCCGACAAAAATCTGAGCGGGTGTGGCCGTGGCTCTTCGACGCGCCCGCCGATGAGCGTGAAGTCGGGCCTGTCCCCCTACAGGGGGGATATTCGAAAGTAGTGAAAAGATAGTCTGAGGACGTTTTTTGTGACTAGTTTGACCATTTTGGAGTATGTATTTTTTTTTTGTATTTTTCAGTGTACTTCGCCCAGAATCCCCCTGTAGGGGGACAGGCCCGACCTAAGACTGGCGTGCGTGGACACCCGGTGTCCTGCCGTAGGCAGGGCGCGCGACGTGAGCCGTCCGGCGCCGGGGGCCGGTGGGCGCGGATCGGCGGCGGGCCCCGGGGGGGAGGCGAGGAGGCGCGGGCCTGCCCGGGAGGCGCGGGAGGCCGCCAGCCTTCTGTCGGGGGCGGAAAGGAGGGGGGTGATGACCAGGGGGGGGTTGGACAGAACCCCCACCAGTGACACGTCGATTAGTGAGTCGTCCGTTTTCGGTTCTCGAGAGGGCGCCGTGGCCGTTATTTCCAGGCTTGCGCCCGCCAGGTTTGGGCCTCAGGTCGTTTTCACTACACCACGTTTTACTAAAGGGGGGTCTGTCCATCTCCGAACTAGGGGGGGGTGGACATCATGGCGGGGGCCATGATAGTTCCCCAGATTTCATGGCGCCTCTTCTTGTTTCATGACGTGCCTGCGCCCCCCGCTGGGCCGCGCACATGCCGCCGGTCATGATTTGCACCCCCCCCCCTCTTGGACACCCCCCTCTTGGCCGCTCCCGATTCTGAGAAGCTTCTCGATGCCTTCCCCGAAAGCGCAGGGCACCCATCAGAAGGCGGGAGCGCTTCTGAGACACCCCGCCGCCTTCTGAGCACGGGGGAAGCGGGTCCCGAGGGAACCTCGGCCTGGACCCTGGGGCCTTCCCCCCCGGACGAGATCTGCATCCCGAGTCGCTCTCTGGCACTCTGGCAGGCCCGGGGGCCTGCGGAAGGCCCCCCCGAGGGCCTCGAAAACGGCAACACAAACTCAGGACCCGTTTTCCTCAGGACCCGTTTTCCCCATGCGTCAAACAGTGGCGAGGCGTCTTGGCTTGCGTACAGGCCCACCAAAGAATTGTCTGAGACCTTGCTGTGGATTGCACGAATTGCTTTTCGAACATTCCTGGCTGAGACGGCCTTGTTGAAATGCCTCGAGCCTATGGTATGAGAGCATTGTTTTTGCTATTCGAGTCGTTGCGTGGGAGGCCTGTCGCAATGCCTGGGCGATCGGTCCCTGCCCAGTTCTCACTTCCCCCCCTCGCTCGCCGCCGAGTGGGGCGTGGATGCCGCGGGGCCTCCAGGCGCCGAGGTGCAGTCGCCGGCGCTGGAAAGTGTGTGTGTGTGTGTGTGTGTGTGTGTGTGTGTGTGTGTGTGTGTGTGTGTGTGTGTGTGTGTGTGTGTGTGTGTGTGTGTGTGTGTGTGTG